GTCCTGTCTAGCTAAGTCCGCTGGAACTTACTTGTCAAAATTGTTCTGCTTTCCAAGCTGAGTCCGCGTCTCAATTTGATTGTCATCCTCAGAGGCTAAATTATGGCTCACGATTTATGATTTGCCTTGTCATTTGTGAGAAGCCCTGTGTTCCTAGGGTTTCCGACGGAACTTCAAGATCCCCTGTAGGTAGAACAGACTCACTAAGTCCACCGCGACTTGGTGAGGCTTTCTACCAACAGGAGTGGGATGAAGCCACTCTGTGTTTGTTGACAGTATGTGTAAGACTCACTGTGCTATCCTTTCATAGTGCTTACCTTCAAGACTTGCGCGCATCACCGCTTGCAATAGGTTAGTAGTAGTAGTACGTTTAGGCCTCTGAGGACGTCGATCTTGGGGAAATTCGATGAACAAATTCCGTCTCACAGCCTCGCTGGCACAAAACAATAACGTCAAATCATGGAACTCGTAGCTATGAAAATTTGAATCAGTGATACATAGTCTCCGTTTTTGTTGATGAGCATTTGCCATTCATCCGGAAATCGTTGGGCGCAAGGATATTGAACAAGTTGCATTCCTTTATCAACTGCTCCTTTGGATACTAATTCGGCCCTCCCGCTTGTAACACATTCTTCTTGACGAAAATGTATGTGCAGCTATAGGGTTTAGAGTGTTGTAATTCCTTTGTACCCCTCAAGGAGACATCAACTGATACTGCTCATGCTCATCTGATTGAAAACAAACTAAGAATTGGAGCCAAACATTTCACGCATCGTGGTCTCTGTGGTCATGTCCAACGACCACCGTACCGGTTATGGATGGTTACCAACAAGAACAGTGACTGCGTATACCACACACCGAGTTTCAACTTTTTTCCTCACTTCCTTCAAAAGATATTAAGAAACCTTCATCTCAAGTTCCGTTGGAGTTATTCATATCCAGCAGTGCCATTTCAATACGCATTCTTCTTTTGTTCATGAAATGCTGCATTAATTTCGCAGAAAAATAAAATTTTCATGCACAGCGCAAAAATGCTGAAGGGTTTTTTTCAGAACTTTGTCGCATTCTGTGTCGAAGAATAGTCATAATCATTATTTTTCCCTTACCTCCGTCGAACAAAGAGCTCATAGTTTTTTTTTCTCTTCAACTCGGCTTTTCGGTACAGCTTTTCAATTTTGTTGATGGGCCCATCTTAGTCCCTACCTTTTTTCCAAATTTTGCAGGTCCTTAACACTGTCTATTCAACCCAATCATTCACGGTTTGACTTAATATCTTCCCATGTTGTCCCCTGACGTGGCCTGTGTTGGTACCATTTTTATTCCTCCATCTCATATCCATTTTGAACTGATCAGTAACGCTATTCGCTCTGCGTGTGTGTGAGGGGGGGGGTCATTTTATCAGTTCTCTGATCTCCACACCACGGTAAAACCTGCAAGCTCTTGCAAACTTACGAAATGGTACGGGTTTCATTGAGTATGGCTCTGGAAAGCTTTACAGTACAGGTTTTTTGTAGAGGTTTTCTCAAGGTCGCCTGTTCAAGCCTCTCTTGAGTACCATTTTATAGGACCTCCGAACATTACTTGTCTCTATAAATTTCCTGTCCGTAAGATTCCTGCGGGAAGGCAAAGCCCGCGCTCATTCACCGCCACAGATAGCGGATTAGGGGTTTGCATAAAGATGATAATATGCTGAGTAAAGCGATAATGGAGAAAAAATAGAAGAAACATG